CGACATTTTCCTCAAACGTAAGATTTTCGTAATGAGACCATTTTGAAAATAATTTCGCTAAACAATCTCTATCTCTCATTTAGATTGAAAAACCAAAAAAATATTCTAACAACTCGAATTAAGTACTCTTTTCCCATTTGTTTTTCATAAAGACTCGCCTGAAATTGCTGAAATGATGACAAATAGTTGAATTATGTACTTTGTAAAGGCTTTAGGAATGAAGAAATGAAATGTCAGACTTAATAAGGTAAAGCTTTTTGACGTTAAAAAGCAAACTGTTGTCAAGTTCTAGAATACAATGCTAATTCAATATCTATAGTACTAATACTTCTGATGGTTAGCGCGGTGGCCGGGCAACTAGATGTGGTCCAACGTGTAGTGGGTCTGATTCCGCACGGAGCAACTCTTTGTGTGATCCACTAATTGTTGTTCCGGGGCTGGGTGTCATGTGTATGTGAAATTGTATGTTATAATCGCATCCCCTATACAGGAGGAAATCATGGTGTGGGGCAATATTTTCTGACTGGCTCGTTGGTGGACTGGTTACTGGTCCGATTTTACGTTCAATTTCTGGGTCAAATAAAGGATTACTATGTACTTATCTTGTTTTTTTTTCAGTATTTTGAAAATGTCTCTGTAATGGTACGTGTCTGTTATTGGGTTCAGTATATGACAATACCTTCACCTCGTAATATACATATAACATAATTAATGAAATCTTGGTGTTCAAATACGTACACTTCGTAGTCAAAATCAAATCAAAATCTATTATTTCAATTAGACCAGGAACCCACTTTTGAATTTCAAACAAATATAAAAATATCAGTTTGTCGGTCAATCCTCTAGTAAAGGTATTTGCTCGTTGCAAAAAGTGAGTAGTGAGTACCTATGGAGAAGAACGAGCAAGAAACTCCATAGTTTACTCTTTTTCAATCGGGTTCACAATACAATTCTCTAGTAATATTCTTTCTTTGAGTCTATTATGTGAGAACAGTGTGACTGCCTCTTTGGCCGAGTGGTCGCAAGTTCGACTGCCGGGAAAGGGGTCTCGGGTTCGATCCTGGGGTCGGGCAAAGTATTACTGGGTTTTTTAAAAAAATCAGTAGTAGCACGGAGTCTAGAATTGTGCCCGGTATATGGCAATACGCTCACCCCCTATTACATGGGACTCATAAATAGTGAAAAGTGGGTGTTACATTGTACAGTGGCCATTAAGTGCCGTAATGTGCACCTCTGCCTACCCCTCCGAGCGTACGGCGCGTCGCGTTCCGCGCGCGCCTCAAAGAGCCATCAGACCACCACAGATGGGGCCCAATAGGGCCGATGCCGATTCGGAGTCGCGGAGAACCTAACGGGTAACCGGGGCTCCGGCTCGACGTGCAGGAGAAGGAACGGGGTGGTTTTTAGTCAGTAAGAGTCTGACACTCCCTCCCGCCTCACCCAGCCGGGAGCAGCCATTCGATGATTTTCCCCCTTAAAAAAAAAACCCCTCCGAGGATAATAGGCGTGATGTTATGTTATGTTATTATGTGTAACACCAATATGTCAAACTAATCAGGAAGGCGGCTGATGAGGGTGAGCAAGGTATTAAGGACTACAACCTGAAAATGGCTATCAAACACAGGGACGCGGCAGTCATGGGTGCTCTCTTGGGCGGGGAGTGTTGCTTGTGATGAAACGAATGCAACATGAAGAAATGTGTGTGCAGAAACATGTAGAAATAGAATATAACCAATTGACTTTGGACTATTGTACGCTTTATTGGAATCGGCCCACGTGGCAAGGGTTGAGGCGTCATGCACACATAAATGTCCTACAGTCGGTGGCGCTGTGTGTTGGGTTGTTCCGTTCCCAATAAAAAGGTTGACCGGACCAATTGCTGACACACACGTCATACTCGTGAACGGGTGCCTTCTGCTGGGTCAGGTCGGCTCTCCCATCTTGTTGGTGGGCTGGTTTCATAAAGCCTTTGAAATAGAAATAAATAAATAGTGCCTAATTATTATGTAACCTATACTTTTGGTAATAATTATAGATGTAGTTAATTGTAGTGTGTAACTAGGTTCCCTCTTTACTTTATAAAAATTAACTAGATGTATTATAATTAAAAAACTGTATGACAAGGGCACGGACCTAGAGTCCGTGGAGAAATAATCTATAATATTAAAAAAAAAAAACACCAATATGTCTCTGCCTATACGATTAAAAAGCGTTTTATTATTAATTTTTGTGACAAGAAACTATCTCTTCTCAAACCACTGTAACCAATCCAACCTGAAAATCGCACACATCACCTTGAATTACGGTTCATTTCGTCAAAAATTTCATACTGACAGATTTATGTCTCATTAGACACGATTAATAATACTAAGCTATAATACTCTCGACAGATTAGCAACAATGTTTACTCACTCGTCTGAATAATTTCAACGAGAAATTTTCTTCTAAAGAAGATTGTAAAAAATGTTTGAATACATTTTTTTTTTATATAGGCTAGGAATCGAAAGGACTAATGGTTTTTAGATTATGCCATTGAATGCCGTTTAGAATTGAAGAATTTTTATCTATCTATCTTAGGTACCTACCTAAGTAGGTAGGTATGGTATAGTATGGTTATTATCTGCGTTGATGAATTAATTATTCTTCTGTTTTTTTACTGGTTTATAGAATAAAGCCAAGGATACACAAATGTCCTACGACATGTATCGACGACATGTCAATCGAAGTCTGCCGATTTTAACCGACATATTTTATGGGACATTAAGGCACGAAAACGCGCGCCTTATGTCCACAGTGACGTTGATGTTGCCAGACGTGTCGACCAAAGTCTGGCAACGGCGCGCTTTTTTTTATTTTTTTTTACTGTATCCAACGTCGCTAGCGTGACGGCGCAGGACAAATTTTGTCCCCTGGTGTATCCATGGCTTTATGATATAGTCCAATGGATTTTTTTTTTAAGTGGGGAAAATCATCCAATGACTGCTCCCGGCTGGGTGAGGCGGGAGGGAGTATCAGACTCTTACTGACTAAAAACCACCCCGTTCCTTCTCCTGCACGTCAAGCCGGAGCCCCGGTTACCCGTTAGGTTCTCCGCGACATAGTCCAATGGGTAGTGTTATATGAAATGAATGATTTAGTCGAGTTTTTAGTAAAAGAGCACCAGGTTGGAGACTTGATATCCTCATCTGAATGTTAGTTTATTGTTCTTCATAGCTTAAGTGACAGGCAGGACGGGTGAGTCGCCACCCGACCAGAACCAGACCCAAGCGAACGGCGCGTCGCGTTTCAGCGCGCGCCTCAAAGAGCCACTAGACCACCACAGAAGGAGCCCCATAGGGCTAATGCCAATACGGAGCCGAGGAGGCCTTAACGGACTGCCGGGGCTCCAACTCGAAGTACAGGAGTAGAAATGGAGTTGTTTTTAGTCAGTAAGTCTGATACTCCCTCTCGCCTCACCCGGACGGGAGAAGTCGTTGAAAGATTTTCGCCCCTCAAAAAAAAACTTGCGGAAAATTCTATTTTAGTATTACATAAGTGTTTCTACGAAGATTAATTGAGTTCAATGTAGTAGTACTAAGGAATTTTTATTAGCGAAATTGTCAATATTGAAGCCAAGAGTTTATTTGACCAGTTTTTACGCCAAATTTTAAAAGCCGCCCATAAAATTAGGTTTACCGTGAAACAGTACGCTCTATTGAATATTTTTATTGGCTCTGTTAAATTTAAATGGCTATATTTAAACCATAAATTACATTTAAGAGCTATTGGTTGTAAAAGGAGCCGTTTTTATTGTTTCCGATTGGTCTATATTGTTTTTGAAGGTTCAATAGTAGGTAATTAAATGATTGGCAGTCTTATTTAACAGATGTTAGAGTTTAAATTACTGTTAATTATTTATTGGCATAATTAGTGTGACTTGTAGAAGTATACATTTGACTAAGACGAGGATAAAGTACTCTCTGATTAACTCGAACCTTTGACATATCCAAACAGCTAACTAAACATGGAGACTAAGGCAAACCCTCTTATAGTAGAAGCCCATTGTTCAGAGGCCTTAGTACGACTTTGTTATACATTTAAAGTAATCGATTCGAGACCGCGTTTGGCGTAATGAGGAACTGTGTATTCAGAAATATGTAGATTTTAAGTGTGGGAGAGCCATGCTTCGGCACGAAAGGGCCGGCTCGACCGGAGTGATACCACGGCCTCACAGAAAACCGACGTGAAGCAACGCTTGCGTTGTGTTTCGTCGTGTGAGTGAGGTTACCGGAGGCCCAATTACCCTCCACTTCCCCAATATCCCCAATCCCTGAATCCCCAACGATCCTCAAACTCCTAATCCCCAAAAAGCCGGTAACGCACTTGTAACGCCTCTGGTGTTCCAGGTGTCCATGGGCAACGCCGATTGCTTATCCTCAGGTGATCCGTATGCTCGTTTACCGGCTTATGCCATAAACAAAAAAATAGAAACTAACCAATTGATTTTTGGACTATTGGAATCAGCCAACGTAGCAACGGCTGAGACGTCATGGACACATAAATGTCCTACAATCGGTGGCGCTGTGTGTTGAGTTGTTCCGTTCCCAATCAAAAGGTTGACCGGACCATCTGCTGACACACGTGAACGGGTGCCTTCTGATGAGTCAGGTCGGCTCTCCCATTATGTTGGTTGGTGGGCTGATTTCGTAAAGCCGTCGAAATAGATATCAAGAGATGATAGTTAATTACCATGTAATTTATTCTTGTAGTAATAATTATAGATGTGTTCCATTGTAGTGTATAACTAGATACTTTACAAATATTGATTAAGCGTATTGTAAAAAAAATATGACAAGGGCACGGACCACGAGTCCGTAGAGAAATAATATGTAACATTAAAAAAAAAAATAGACCGCATTTCGTTCATTGGTTGGATTGGTTTCAGAGCCGAACACGTATTCGGACTGCTGAGGGCGAGTCCTAACATAAGCTAACAAAACTAACCTAAGTCCTTGTTTCAGCCGGAATTGTACAAGAACGAGCTAGTTCGCCAGTCGTCCACTGAGAGCGCTGAGCTGGAATTCTGTGGCAAGCTGCATTTTGCACTCAAATACGACCAGGAAGTCGAGGCTCTTGTTGTCAAGGTAAGATAGGTCTTTATTTCATTTTTTATTTGCCTCGTTGGCCGGGTTCGATTCCCCGGTCGGGAAAGCTTACTGGGTTTAAATCTCTAAAAAAATCTCAATAGTAGCACTGGGTCTGAAATTGTGCCCGGTATACGGCAATACGCTCACCCTCTATTACATGGGACTCATAACATAAATAGTGAAAAGTGAGTGTTACATTGTACAGTGGCATTAAACGCTGTAATTTGCCTACCCCTTCGGGGATAAAGGCGTGAAGTTATGTTTATTTTTTATCGGATACCGCCCATGGACGAACAAGAAAAGGATAACAAGTGCTTTGCTACCTTTAGTTGGGCCTCCGGTAACCTTATTCACGTGGCGAAACATGTTGTTTGACGCTGGTTTTATATGACTTTAAAAGAGACGGACCTCTGAGTTTGTTTCGGCATTTCTTCTCAGAGTAGTCAGTTAGGAAATGTCGACCTTATCGTTCGCTTTATAAACTTGACGTGTAAAAGTGCTGCCTTGTAGCCTATTTGCAGAAATAATTTCACTTGTTTCACTTGTTTCACTATGAGGCGTATTATTCCGGTCGAGCCGGCCCATTTGTGCTTAAGCAAGACTCACCTACGTGTAAAACGTGTAATCTTTCGCCTCACCCTGTACTATGCAGGATTATACTTCTCATATAATATACTACATGACTTATTGTATACTTTTATGATATTTAGCTTGTTAACTGTTTGAATATTAGCACCATAAAACAATAACGATCAACTCATATGAGATCTAACATAATTGAAATTATTCATAGTATTTTGAACTACTTGCTCTTAATGACTCGATTAAAACTAATTAACAATGTTACCTTTAGCTTGATGATCGAATAAATGGTTGTATTTAATTCTTCTGCTAATAGTGTGAATATAATCTTGAGGAGAAATTTGAATGTAATATATTAAAGCTCATTATTTTCTTCAGTGGTTTAGGGATCGGATTACTATGAAAGTAGACACTGAATTTGAATGAGATAGATGTGTAGTGCAATGGCCTATGTCTGTCTATGTAAACTATGTTCGTGCATCATCGGCATTTTTCGGGTGGTATCGTCGTGAACCAAATAGTATAAGCACTACCCTGCTATCGTAAAGTAGAATTTGATAACCTTTTTCGATATACGCGAGTGTTATCCAAGGAAATCCTCTGCATTTTTTATAGAAAGTCATTATTCTATTCAGGTGTTGATTCCCGGGTCAGTGATTTCAAACTTAAAATGTGAAATTGTAGGTTTCCTCATAATGTTTTCCTTCACCATCTGTCAGTGATGTCTAAATACCTAAGCAAGTACATAGAACTCGGAAAAGTTACACTGGCAATTGCCGGGTTTCTACCCGCACCTTCATGCACGAGAGGCGCGCTCCTTAACCTCCAGGCAACCACCCATAATGACAAACATCATAATAATTCAAGAAAGGGAAACAATAAAAATACCTACTTGTATTGAACTTTAAACCGCTACGTAGGATGCGCGACATAGCCGCGACCGTTCATGCTGCTCATGAGGAAGAAACCCTCTGTAGTTCGTAACTAGTAGAGCTTTTCTCAGTATATTCACGTGAGTAACTCGAGATTTTTAGTTAATTTAGTATGTCTTACGATAGTTATTAGAGGTATAAAAACACAGTTATTGTTAAACCAACCGTTCTTGATATAAGAATAACTAGCAGTGAACAAAGTTGGCTTAAATTTAATATCGAAAATGTAGTACGCGAAACAATCTAACTAAACAGATACACAAACTAGGCTAAAGTCTAGTACATTCGCGTTTGTAACGTGGTCTTGAATCGATCGATAGTATTCATATACTAAGCTTTGTATGGCTAAGGCTATGTTCAGATCACATTGTATTGCCGCTTTTCCCATGAGATAAGACATCGTTAACAATGTGTCATCTATATTTCTCCATATCTATGACTATTTGTATGGTTGTAAGTATTGAAAGGGGATGGGTAGACATGTATTGTATTTGCGTTCATGTACAATGTAAAAATTACATTTAATTTAATAATAAATTACATAAAATCGTAGGAAAGTGAAAACTGTACATTGATTTTTTTAAAGGGTCTTTGCAGCGTGATCTAACGCTATAATAATCTAACGCTAAAAAGATGTTTTTTTGAATTTTGTCAACTTGTCTGTACTACATGGATTTACTTCAAATTTAGCATGAACGTTACAAACAGGGTGCTTACTCTTGAATCCAATTCCGATCGATCGACATTGACATTGGGAAATTTCGTACTCTTGAGTTGTAACACTAGCGCCTTTTGCATCCGTATTGCGTGGATATTGAATGAACTAAATGGTATTGAGTTTGTTTTTATATTCCGTACTCTGAATGCTACTTTAACAGCTACGATAGGGGTTGTATAGTTTTAACATTGGATAATTATTGAGATTTTATTGGATTGCAATTGCATTGACATTGAGATTGGTTTCAAGAGTAAGCACCCAGGTCGGGTCAACATATTAACATGTTATCACCTGTGGGGAGTAGCTGTGAATCACTATTCCACGCGGACAAAGTCGCAGGCACAGCTAGTAACATATCATAAAGAATGAAATTTCATTGCCATTTACTACCGTCTTCACTGTTTTAATTTTTTTTGTGTGTTATTGTACTTTGTGACGGTGTGCCAATAAACAATGTCCCTTTCTTTCTTTTCAAAGTAATCAAAGTAATCAAAGTAATCAAATATTTATTGCATCCATAATGTACACATACAGGTGGTTAGAAAAATACAAATAGTAACAATTATGGACCCTGTCGGGCACAGCAACATTTAAAATTGGTAGGAGAGAGGAAGGGCGTTTCGTTAGATTACTATTAATGTTTATTTTTCAGTAGTATTAAGTTATTTACTTTTTAGCTTACACTAGCTTGTCAAATCAGTCAATTATGTAGTCAATTTATCATTTAGAAATTCGTCTATGGTGTAATAACATTTTTTAATCAAATATTGTTTTAATTTTCTCATAAATACATTGGTCTTTTCTATTTCTTTTAAGTATTCTGGTAATTTGTTATAAATTTTTATCGACATAACGTAGGGGCTAGAGGAGTGCATCTTAAGGTTAGAGCGAGGCAAGTCCAATCTGTTTTTATGTCGGAGCGAGTGGCTTGATTGTATGTCTCCTCTTTTTTTATAACAATCTGGATATTTACGAACCAGCTTGCACAATTCTAAAATATATATATTTATTAAGGTGAGAATATTATGTTTTGTGAAATAAGGTTTGCAACTATTGGTTTGTTCTATGTTGGCTATGATGCGGATTAGTTTTTTTTGTAAAATAAACAATGAATGGGCATCCGTACTGTTTCCCCACAATATGATACCATAAGTGAACCAAGCGTGGGCATACGCATAATATATAACTATTGCAGTTTGTAAATCAGTTGTCTTTTTAATTTCATGTAGGGCATATGAGAACTTTGCGATTTTTGACTTTAATTTGAGAATATGAGATTTCCAGTTTATGTTTGTGTCTATTGTCAAGCCTAAAAGAATGAATTCATTAACTGTTTCTAGTTCCACTTGGTTATATTTAAAATTAATGTTCATTTGGGTTTTTTGGTAAGGGTGAAAGGTTATTAATTTGGTCTTCGTAAAATTTATTTCGAGATTATGTTGTGTCATCCAATTAGTTACGTTATTAAGAATGTTGTTGAGTTTTTCGTTGATATGATCAGTCGATCGGCATGAGGTGAGTATTGAAACATCGTCTGCAAATAGGACACACGGCCCTTCTATGGTTTTGGGGAGGTCGTTAATATAGATTAGGAAAAGTAGGCATCCTATAACGCTTCCCTGGGGAATTGAAGCTTGTATTGGTCTGACTTTTGATCGAATGTGCTGTACTTCTCTTGTTGTACTGTTGTAGAATTCTAACTCAACCAAATGTTCCCTACCTTTCAAGTATGACACGAACCAGTCATATGCCTTTCCGCGTACTCCCATACCATACAACTTCTGCAGCAGTATATCAAACCTCACCCTATCGTAGGCCTTGGTCATATCAAGTAATATTCCTACTGCATAATGTTTATTGTTTATGGCGTTTAACGCTTCTTGGATGTACTTATATACTGCTAAGGTTGTTGATCTATTTTTACGGAATCCGTTTTGGCAATCATTAAAAATGTTGTATTTTTCACAGAACGAATATACTCGACTACACATTGCTTTTTCAAAGACTTTGGAGGAAGTTGGCAGGAGAGCAATTGGTCTATAATTACTAGGGTCTGTCTTTGCGTTCTTTTTATGAATTGGTTTTATTATTGCACTTTTTAAATGGTCTGGGAAACTGCCTTCTTCGAACGACTGATTTATCAGTTTGAAAAATGGTAAGGTAAGTTCATCCGCGCACTGTCTGAAAAGAGTTGGTGGTAGTTCGTCTATGCCGAAACTAGTTTTATTTTTTAGATTTTTCAAGATGGTATTTACTTCATATCCGTCTACCGGGCTAAGAAACATCGTATTCTGAGTAGGGTTAATGACTGGTGTTTGAGTTCGCTTGAAGCCGGGTGTTTGGGATTGGGAGATACTTTCCCCGATTGAAGCGAAAAATTCGTTGAAAATATTAGCTACCTGCACAGGGTCACTTACTAAGCTCGTCGTTTGCAACGTTATATTTTGTTTATCCTTTTTCGATATTTTGTTTGTTCGTTCTTTTACAATATTCCACATAGTTTTAATTTTGTTTGTGGATTTATTCATTTTGTTTATGTAGTGTAATTTTTTAGCTGTTATCACGGATTTTTTTAGGATTTTTTCGTATTTTTTATAGTATTTAGTGAAAATTGAGTTATTAATTTTTACGGATAAAATTTTAAGTAGTCTTTTATTTCTACAAGATCGTTTTATTCCTGTAGTTAGCCAGTAATTGTACTGTTTAGTTTTCAATTTAATTCTACATACTGGGATACATTCATTTAAAATGTCTTGCAGTGTACT